ATTATGTAACCATTGACTATAGCCATTCAACATTACAGTATAATTGAGAGCTGTCAATTTGAACATTTATTAGACTTTAAAAAATAACTTCTAATTTAAGTGAACTTTAAACAATCTTCACGTAAACCCATTATAATAAATGTCATATTTACCTCTGCCCTTCAGCAGAAATATACAGAAATTGAAATTGAAGCTATCAAACACTAAATTCTAAATTAAATATAGATGAATCCTTAAAGCTATAAAAGTTATTTTTTCCTCTTTTTTTTTTTCTTTGTCCTTTGATTAATATACAACACAGCAGCTGGTTATTAGGTTATTTTGGCTGTTATTTCTTTAAGAGCTGCCGCTGCTGAACGTGACGCGGATCTGACACGCGTCATACTTTCTCTCGATTCTCTTTAACTTTTCTGACCCACTTCAGGTCTTAAAGTCTCTATTAATGAGCTGACGAGTTAAATCTGGTTTGTTAGATGATTGTCTGAGCTGGGCTGCTCCAGGACAGTTTTGAAAACCATTTCAGAGACATGTTCTTAAATGTGACTCATATATAATATATTACATGCATGCACAGTTTTAAGGCAGCTTTAATCGCCTTTTTGGTAACTTCATGACTTAGCTGACCACGACATTGCATGCACGTAGTTTATTTCGCGCTTTGATATGAAAGGATACAGGATACAACGCTCGCTGGCGCCTTTGTGCGTGCAATTAAAAATCACGCGCTGCGAGCACAGTACTGTTTCTGCACTCGTTTGACTTGAAGTGAAGTGGCAGCGCTTATGAGTTGGGCAACCAGTGCGAGCGCTCACAAAATTTAGGCCCTATTCGCACGGGATTAGTATTATCTGGGGACCTTGTGTGATTTTGAAATTACCCCCCCACATCTGAATTTAGTGTGGTGCATTTGCACGGGATAAGCGAAGCCTGTGATTTTACTCGAATTTACTGACTTATCTCCCGGATATAATGTCAAGGCTTTGAGAGTCCCGTTCTATGGTCCAGATGGATTTAAAAAAAAGAAACTAATATAGTTTCGTGCGCTGTGTTATTTACATTTCACCAGGTTAAAATAATATCTCCGGCTTTATGCTTGATTTATTTGTAACGCATTAACCTCAAAACCTTTTCAGCTTTCTCTTTCTGCAAATTGTATGGTGTAGCGATATGACAGCACCCAAAATACTATCAAACACTCCAACGCAGCTCCATTCTTCGTGAAAGATAGATAAAAAGGCGCACGGGAAACAAAAACCTCGAAAAATTATATACGACCCGCCACATGCTGGCCGAATCACAGAGATGCCGATTCGCACGGGACTAATATTATCACAGGACCTCGGTGTTCGGCGAAATATGGTAGGTCATTTGCGGGGGAATTTTTACTTTACAAATTACAGACATGGCCGATTCGCACGGGATTAAGATCACAGACAACCTCCGCAATTATTACAAATGACTGGAGGTCACCAGGTAATACTAATCCCGTGCGAATAGGGCTTAAGTTATGGTAGGTCATTTGCGGGGAAATTTTTATTTTACAAATTACAGACATGGCCGATTCGCATGGGATTAAGATCACAGACAACCTCCGCAATTATTACAAATGACTGGAGGTCACCAGGTAGAGGTAATACTAGTCGCACCGGCAGAACAAAATGGTCACAGTCTGGAGCCCTGATATGTTCAGGTTCTTAAGTGATGTTCGGTAGCACTTTATTTTACAGTCCTGTTCCACGTGTACATACTATGTACTCATTATAGCAATTACAATAACTGGGTAATAACTAGGTACTAACCCTGAACCTACCACTAAACCTAACCGTAACCCATGTAGTTAGCTTGTACTGCCCACTACTTTCTTGGGTTAGTCCACTGTATGCACACGTACTGTAAAATAAAGTGTAACCTGATGCTCTGCTGCTTTGCATGCCATCAGTTCTCTAACATTAGCAAAACAAATCGTAACGCTCCATTACACTGGTGTCGAGACGAGAGCACACGTGTTTAACCGGTTCTCACTCCCTATAGGCATCCCATGTTGCATGTCTAAGACTTTTTACAGACTTTTACTCAAGACTTTTGCAGTATACTGACATCATTATAGCATCTTTAGTTCACCTGCTGGGAAACCCCTTTCTAGTTACAAAGAGAAAGAATTCGGCTGGCTTTTTTAATGAGTGTCAGTGGTGCAGATGTCTTTTGTGAGGAAACGTTGATCGTTCTTGCATTGCCAGCCTGTCCACTAGTCTTCAGCATGTTTGGCTTTAAACATTCATTTTGGAGTGAGCTTTATCCAGTGTTTATTAGGGATGTGTACCGTCCGAAACCCAGTATTAAATGGGCCCTGGGGCTAAATTAAGACCGGTATCAATAAGGTTCTATGAGTTAACGGTTCTGCTCTCGGTACTTGCAAATTCTATCTCACCAGAGTCTCCAGCTGTTTTTATATGCAATAATATTCAGACATTTGTGTATGATGCATTTTTTGCTATTTTGGCTGAAATGTGTGCGCGCTCCAATACGGACCGCAACTAGACAAGCAGATTACACTTTGGGCTTCGGGAGCACGTCCAAGCGATCAAATACACACAAAATATGTCCAAATGTCCGGCTTGGAGAGAGTTCACTTAAACAGTTTATGTCTTAAGTGGACGTGAACAGATGGGAGAAAATCCGATGTGTGTCAGAATATTGTCTTAAAGTGACAGCAGTGATGGTGCTTGGGCCATCAATGTTAATCAAACAACAAAATGCAAAGAGAAAATCACTGACAGCTCTCAGTCTGAATAACGTTAGCTTTAATAAGCATTAATCTATCGATTCATACAGTGAAAACTAAGCAGTGTTCATTTACATTTGATTACTTTATTAGATTTCTTTTGTAGGCTATATTACTTACCTGAACAGTAATGTTAGTAGACATTGTTTGTTTGTTTTATTTTGTTTATTCATGTTCTTACTGTATCTTATGTATATAAAACACTAAAAATGCCTGCACAGTGGTGCATTTACAAATTGATATTTTATATTAATTTCATTAAATATTTAATTTTACATGTCAGAATATAAAGCAATGTTAATTCAGCTCTTAATTTGTTTCATATATATATATATATATATATATATATACATACAGTCGTGGTCAGAATTATTGGCACCCTTGGTAAATATGATCAAAGAAGGCTGTGAAAATAAATCTGCATTGTTAATCATTTTGATTTTTTAATTTAAAAAAATTCACAAATATCGAACCTTTCATTGAACTAAAACAATTTAAAATGAGGGAAAATCTCATTATGAAATAAATGTTTTTTTCTCAAATACACGGGACACAATTATTGGTA